AGATTTCGAAAATAATATTCATTTTTTTTCTATCACGTAAGGATTTTTTACAAATCGAGAAGAAAAAAAACTCTTACTTAAATCAAATTATTATTTCGTTTACCACAATGAACATTTTTTATTGTTATGTTTGTTAACAAAAATACGAACAAACTGAAGGAAAAGGAAGAACATTGATGTCAAACGAATATGCATCCTCATTCATCCTGATTTTTGTGTTTGTGTGTCTGAAATCTACGTCTTTCAGTCTCAAAACTACGTGTTGGGGTATTTCTTTTATGTATTGCGTTATGACGTTTTATGAAAAATCTGTACGTGATCCAGCGTGCAGGAATCACTGTAAAACATGTAAAAATATCATGGCAATAAAACCATCGCAGGCCTGTGTTATTAGTAAATATGAGAGATAAATATATTTATGAGGAAACGTTGACGTGGCCGAGAGTTTTGAGTAAGTTAAACAGCGTGGTTATTGAATGAGATTTGTTTTATTCACATGGTTTCATTGTCTCATTGTTTAGTTATAAGCACAAAACTGCTCAATGGGTTATCTGTGCTGTCCCTACCAGATTTACCGTTGGCACTGGGGAGCCCATGATTTTATATATATTATATTTTCTCGGAACTAGTCAAATGGTCTCCACGTACAGTTGTAAGTCAGTCAGTTTAAATTGTGAATTTTGATGCAACCTTTTTATTTTTACAACTGTTGCTCCTTTATATTCATTATTCAAGAACGATGAATCAGCTTCTCAAGCTATTTACAGATTGTGCGTTCTTTATCGCGTTTGGATTATCGTAATAGTAATTCCCGTTTTGGAACCTACTCCCCCCCCCCCCCTATAATCTAATCAAATCATCCTAACTACCAAATTTCCTAGTTAATACCAGGTATACGTTGGACTAATGTATTTTAAGTATAACATGATTCAGTAATTTGTATAAATGGCTTCTCTACCCGACTGTTGATTATATTGGCTATATAGTTTATGACACTGTAGATGCAGCTAATAAGATTATTTTTAGCTATAATGACCCAGAACAGAACAGATTATCTTATTAATATGTGATATCAGGACTGGTCACATTATTTCTATGCGTAGAAGTTAAGCTTAAACAAATTACTAAAGGTCTTCGTATCACTTACTGCTTTAGTCTCCATTTCAAAAACGTGAACAATTGCAGCTTTATAGTCGAGGTTTCTGTTATTCGCGGGTTAGAAATTTGTCACAGATACTTTGTGGACGATGAGAATATTTTGGTCGATGTAAGTGAGTTTCGGTAAGCATGATCCTGATGTAAATTAAGACGAAATCTTCTTTTGTTTGAATTGTATTTTGTTCGATTCACGCCGTAGCGATTAAATACCAGAAGTATCCCGTATGTGTTCGGACTTTTTATTGTTTTAAAACCATTTTATTCGAGTTCATAAGAAACAAAAACACTGAACTGACTATGTATCTTCTAGTTTTTGACTGTATATAAATCGAGTCTTCATTCTTTTCAGACATCTATATTAAACAAAGAGAGGTATCACACATATCTCATTGCAGTTAATAATATAGGATGAATATAGAAATCATGTAAAAACAGTGCTTACAACATCTATTCTTGTTATCTTCAGTGTTTAAAGCATTTAATCTCAAACGCTAATTCATTCAGCCACAATAATTTGTATTTATTTTTACTAGTATGGAAATCTAAGTTTCAAATGTTCTAAAATATCTGTATCTAATGCCTGTAAGTGAATCCATTTAGACAACGACTCTATCAACTTCCTGTTTCAAGGTGTTTCACAAGAACTATACAATATATGTTCTGTGTGTTGTTTGTTGTTATGGAACAATATAAGCAACTTATTTCATCATCCTCCGCGCCTATTTTGAACAGGTGCTGAACACAAAATATTACTCATTGTGGATCTTTAGAGCATAGATCAGGTGCTGAACACAAAACATTACTTATTGTGGGTCTTTAGAGCATAGACCAGGTGCTAAACACAAAACATTACTTATTGTGGGTCTTTAGGCCATAGATCAGGTGCTGAACACAAAACATTACTTATTGTGGGTCTTTAGAGCATAGATCAGGTGCTGAACACAAAACATTACTTATTGTGGGTCTTTATAACATAGATCAGATGCTAAACACAAAACATTACTTATTGTGGGTCTTTAGAACATAGCTCAGGTGCTAAACACAAAACATTACTTATTGTGGGTCTTTAGAACATAGATCAGGTGCTGAACACAAACATTACTTATTGTGGGTCTTTAGGACAGGTGTTGGACACAAAGCATTACTTTCTGTGGGTTTTTAAGACAGGGTGGTGAACACAAAACATTACTTATTGTGGGTCTTTAGAGCATAGGACAGGTTCTGTACACAAAGCATTGCTTACTTTGGTTCTTTAGGATAACTGCTGAACATAAAGCGTTATTTACTGTAAATTCGGTAAACATCTGTAAAGATTTGCTGTTATGTTTAAAATGAGACATTTAGTTGTTTTGTTGTTGTTAAACATGCAGCTTTATAGAAGTGTATTTTTGTTATCGTTTTGAAAAGATCGAACAAGAAACTAAACGCGTTCGTATTGTACTGTTTGTTGTTGTTTTAACCACACGATAAGCTTTCTACATTCTGTCCACCACAAAGAATGGAACCCCAGATTTTAGAGTTGTAAGTTTGTAAACTTATCGTTAACCCATCGGGGGACTAGTATGCTGGGTCTTGTATTATTTATAAATATACTCTATTATTATGATACCTATGAGAATTCACTATTTCAAGTTATTGTACTGAAGCTAGGGCTTTGTAATTTCAAAGGCTACCCAGGTCCTCCCTGGGTTTCTGGTTGTAGTTACATATTTGCATCATTGCTTTAAGTTAATTATGTTGAAGTTAAGTCCAAATATTTGGGATACCGAAAGTATTACCTCAGTATTTCACATGTATCGAACGAACACATATGAAAGAATTGTTTGTTTGTAATTAAGCACAAAGGTACACAATGGGCTATCTGCGCTCTGCACACCACGGGTATCGAAACCCGGATTCTAGCGTTGTAAGTCCGCAGACATACCGCTGTGCCACTGGGGGGCACATATGCAAGAAACACAAGATGTTTGAGGTAAAGATTAAAACGCTTGAACAATAGTGCTTTACACTTCAATTATATCACTAAGTCAGGCGTTTACAATTAGCGAAATATTCTTATACTGAAATTATCCTGAGTCATGGTAAATTAACGGTTTACCTTACTGATTATTACGTTCAGTAAAATCAAAGTATAAAATCTGTTTGCTTGAGCGTAAAGCTGCACCTGGGGCACCCGCGCTGTGCTCATCACGGGATCGAACCCTGAATTTTAGTGTTATAAGCGCTCAATCAAGCATAAAGCTCCTACCGTATCTTGTAATCTGGGATCCAGTGGCGTTGTAGGAAATGGTGACAGTATCTCTAACAAGCAATATTTCCCACGGAAATCTACTTTCTTTGTTCTTTTGTTATTCGCGATAATACCAAGGCACAGGTCGTACGCTCCAAAGGTGGTAGTTGTCCCCTCGGCAATTCCAGAAGGTATCTTTCCAGAAGCATCTAACACTGGGTAAATGAAAAACAACAACAAAAACAGATTAATCATTAGCCATCTTTATCATAGGATAAAAATTATTGGATTGTATAATCTGCTTTGTAATAAGCCCCTTTATCTAATCATTCTAATGGATAAAAACCATATGTACAAAATTATTGTTTATTCAGAAACGTATAATTTAATATGACTCAGTAAAAAATCTCTTACAGCTCATAATCACAAAAACTGAAGCTTGTGATTAGTGTGTAATATACATATTATGATCTATTTCTGATTATTTTATTTCTTGCGGATAACTACGTATACGTGATCAGTATAGTTGTTTCACAAGCAAGTGATTTAACATGATTCAACATTACATTACAAGTTATAAGGACGAACTACTTTAGTCGCATTGTAAAATGTCACTAAAATAAGCAGAACGTAATTATTTAGAATTATAAACAAGTAATAGGTCATTAAGTCACTAGAATCCCGACCTTCATTTGTTCTATGTACACGTGGTGATTAATGCAAGTCTCTTGTAATAATTTTAAACAAGACCTCATTCAAATTTGTAAAATTTGTCTTAAAATGATTGTGCACTAAACGTGACTAGTTTTACTTTGTCTTTTACAAACACGTTCATCTGATTAAAAGCTACAGGGGGGAAAGGGGGAAAAAACTTGCACGAGAACATGTCACGTCTATTTATTTTTCAATTTTTAAGCAAGCTCTAGGCTAAATTTTGCAACCTTCTACACCAGAACATGACACATTTATTTATTTTTTTTAAGCAAGCTTTAGTCTGCGTTCTTTACTCCCAACTGCAGAAAGATTTAAAACGTTCGTTTGTTGTTAAGCGCAAAGCTCTGCCCACAGCGAGCATTGAAACCCAGTGTTTAATGCTATAACCCAGAATAACCACTTTATGTTAAAGAACATGCATGATGTTTACAAAATATGGCGTACTCTTGGGTGAGATACTCCTCCATAATTGACTTTTTTGCGTTTTCAGTCCGAAAGAATAAACTGATCAATGATTCTAAGCATAGAGTAAATAAGCTAATACAATGTGCTAAAGTAATCTCCATATGTACATTTAGAGTATCATGTAGTTCGGAGTTAACCACGCACACCATATGTCCTACATGTGATTCTAAGCATAGAGTAAATAAGCTAATACAATGTGCTAAAGTAATCTCCATATGTACATTTAGAGTATCATGTAGTTCGGAGTTAACCACGCACACCATATGTCCTACATGTGATTCTAATTAAGTATATACGTAATATTCATGCTATTTTGGCCGCCCAAATGAGAATTTGTTTATTTGTAGTTAAGCACAATGGGCTGTCTGTGCTCTGCCCACTACGGGTATCGAAACCCGGTTTATAGCGTTGTAAGTCCGCAGACATACCGCTGTGCCACTGGAGGCATTAAAATGAAGTAGGGATCCTTCTATAAAAGTAATGAAACAAGAATTAAAACCACAATCACAATTTTATAAAATTTAATCCTTACTTTGACCTACAGGTAAGTATATAAAGTTACCAAAGTTGGGACTACATTTTATAAGCTCCCCAGTGGCACAGGGATATGTCTGCGGACTTATCGTGCTGGAAACCAGGTTTCGATACCCGTAGTTGGCAGAGCACAGATAGCCTCTTGTGTAACTTTGTACTTAATTACAAACAAACAAACTGTTGCTTGAATAAAATACATAGGTTCTTCCTGTGGTACTCTGTGGCTTTAGTAATGCAAGATAAATGTTTGCAATCTTGTACAGTTAGCGCAGGTAGTCTATTGTGTAACTTTGTACTTAATTACAAACAAACAAACTGTTGCTTGAATAAAATACATAGGTTCTTCCTGTGGTACTCTGTGGCTTTAATATTGCAAGATAAATGTTTACAATCTTGTACAGTTAGCGCAGTTAGCCTTCGAGTAGCTTTGTGCGAGATTTACCGAGACCACAAACAACGCTAGAAATATCTGAATCTCATCTTATCTTATTTTTCTAGATTGCTTTTCTTGATATTTATAAAATCTTACTCACTTTTCATTGCCCAAGACTTCAACTTCCGGACAGCCAACGCTGTTTTCAACAAACTAGAATAGCAGGGACCGGATAATTCAATAGTAGAAAACATCCTTATTATGTTAGGAAGGAACTGCTTCAAGACAGAATTGATAATTTCTTTCATTCTTCTTTCAATGTTCAACCATTGAGAAATGGGGTTCTTTGTAGTCACTTCAGGAGTTAGAGAAGAGTCAACGTTTCTGGACGTTTTAAGCATTTTGTGCAACTTAATTATGTTTTCTGTTGAGCTTATGATGTCTCGTTCTGTTGAATTAACTGCGTTTCTTTCTGTTGGGTTTGTAATGTTTCTTTCTGTTGAGCTTGTGATTTCTTCTGTTGAGTTCCTGATGTCTCTTTGCGCTGATGTTGTGAGTTTTGTGCTTAATAAATTATCTCCATTGTCTGACGGCAGATACGGAGGAACGAAATCTGTTGTATTAGCCGCCTCATTAGTTCTATCTAAACAGAATAAAACTAAAAACCAGAAGATCTTAGCCAAAATTAATACTCTATGACGATTCATGATTAACTACACCATCTAAGAGTAGAGTCTCTGCTCCTTGGACGAAGTACAAAGGATGTTTGGATAGCTTCTTGTAATAAAAGAGACTTTTTAACGCTTAAAACGAGATTGAGAAACTTATCTTGTTGATCGGTGAAAAACCAGACGACCTTGAGTGTATTATGTTGAAATAAATTTAAGTTTTCCTGTGACTAGCTCAGTAACCTTGTATCGTACAAAAAACAGTTCGAAAGGATAATTAATCAAGTAACTAGATTTGCCGTTGATTTGGTGGATACTGAAAATCTAGCACATTAAATATATTTTTCTAGTACCCTGAATATGTGTCTAGGAAAACGCTCTCGTGCATTTTAATATTTTAAACTTAATTTATAATGGTGTGTGTATTACACGCAATTTACCCACTCCTTCTCTGAAAGTTTCTATTATGAAGAAAGTCCAAATGTCGTGAATTTTCTACGTTATTCCTTAGGCAGCTTTTGTAGTTAATTTGGAAAGACTCTGGCATGGTCATATATTATTTTGAACATTATTTACCTCAAATATTTCTACACATGACAAGCTATAGGTCACGACTCATTAAAGTGCTGAGTGATCTATTGCCCTTTCTCATAGAATTCCATTAATACAAATAGTGCACCATTGTCCAAGACAACAAGACAATCGTGATTTCTTTAACAGCTGTAAGTTTACCTAGTTGCAACCAATCAAAACCGGGTCTTACCGCACTTCACACTGGAACATCGTAGTCATAATCAAAGTACTATCCAGATGAAACCTGTCCATCCGGATCACACAATAAGTTCTGCATAATGATCTTCCATAATTTTTATTTGAAGCAACACGAAGGCAAAAGTTTTGAACTCAATTCTGTAATAGAAGGCTTGTAGGCTTGCAGCCCACCCGTGATATGTAGTTTATCCTTCAGTTAAAATTGTTAATGGTAAATTTCATGCAATATGTAATATATTAATTCAGAGCAAGTTTCAAAGCTTATATGAACTGACAAATAAATTCATTTGTATTATCAGGCCAATATTTTCAGATTAGTATATTATTTACAGTGTATGAACAGGTGGACTAAAATTTTTCAGACACTCGTATCACCAGTACTATTTCAATATATAATATATCATTCCTGTTTGAAAGTCCTTAAGAAACTTTCCTTGAAGCATCTTGATTACAACTGGCTCTGGTAGATGTTGAACTTTATAAACCATATGCACATATATAAATCCAGTGTCGACTGGCAAATTAAAACTACCTAATTGTATTTGGAAAGTGAGAGGAGCTAAGTTTTTTATTATCTTAGAAATTGTTGTCTCTTTCTATTAAGACATTTGTTAAAAATTCTGCTCAACATTTTAATTTTCTACCTCCTTTCTCTGAAATCCATTGCCCATCCTGTAACTTAGCTCTATTAAATGATTGCCAGTGTTAATTACAACAGCTAGCTTAACTCCATGTATCGCTTGCCAAAGTATATTCCCAGTCTTTTTCTAAAGGTTCCATTAGGCAGATATAATCCTTAGATCACTTCCTAAATTTTCTTTATCACAAAGTAGTTTGTTCATCTTTCTAAGGTATAACCGGACTTTTCACGTCCATAATCTATACCAGACATTTAAAATCCAAAGTTTTTATCACAACTTCAAGTCCATAGATGTATGAAACATTTTAATTTGATAATCTTCATCGCATGCTTTAAATCCATAGCCTACACCAAACAACTTAAACCCGCAGTCTACACCAAACAACTCAAACATTGACCATTCTAACATGTCAGCTCTCCTTTCTATATTACTTATGATCATCTTTTGGTTTTATTGTATTTTATCTTTTAAATGCAAATATATGCGAGCGTGTATTATGTATAAAGATAAAACTGATAACTGCAAAATTTAATTGTGAAAATTAGATGGCGCTACCCTAAAAAAGAATGTTACTCTATCGTTACACTGCTCTGTAAATGAAGATTCAATGAATTAAGTTTTGAACGTAACTGTGTAAAACAAAAGCGCAGAAAAGGGTACCCATAGTGAATTCAAACACACAAACGCACGTATACTTTAATAAGACATCGAATATGTTAAACACCAATAAATTGGTTAGAAAGTTTGCTTCTATAGTAAGAGCTCGTCGAGAGAGAGTTACCTATTGTGAATTTGATCCAATTAAGTAATTTTAAAAGAAGCAAAATCCTAAGAATATAATGTACAGTTTAGATTAACTGGGTGAATGTTATACGTTTTAAATACTTGAAAACACTAATCGTAATATAAGTTATTGATTTGTACTTTTAAAACCCAGGAAAGAATTAAGGCAAAAAGTCATATAATTTTGAATGTTAATTTGCATCTCCGGTCAACTTACAGACTCAAAATGTTGTTAAAGGTACCATAAGGATACAACAAGAAAATATCTTACAGATTTTCAAAATACTGGACCTTTCGTTAGTTTTAAAATTAACCAGCTCATCTTCCTCCGTACTTTCATCTTCAATAAAACTATATAGTTTATGACACTGCCCAATATAATCAACAGTCGGGTAGAGAAGCCATTTATACAAATTACTGAATCAT